GGGAAATAAATAAATAAATAAATAAATAAATAAATAAATAAATAAATAAATAAATAAATAAATAAATAAATAAATATGATGGACACACAAAACAAGTGAATTCCCTTCTTTAACTTTACAAAGAGAGGGCGGGAAGAATTTTCTAAATTCTGACTTATGGCAGCCCTTTTCAGGGTTTTCCAGGTAGAATATACTCAGAATATGGTTTACCATTCCCTTTTGAGACTGTGCAGCTTGCCCAAGGCCACATGGGCTGGCTCTATCGGCAAGCGGCACCGTGGGGCATCAAACACCCAACCTCTGGCTTCACAGCTAAATACCTAAACCACTGTGCTAATGAAACAGCTTAGGCTTAGGTAAATATGTCCTCTGTTTTACTAACATTGAAAGACTTAATACATCTACACACCAAATGAACATCCACTCTTCCATTACTTTCATGTCCTTCCCAGATTAAACGCAAGGAAAAAATTTTTAAGAACATCTATTAATGCTGGAGAAATAGCAGAGAATGACAGGACTACAGGGTGGAAAGAAAGAAGTACAGTAACCATCTCTTTAAATGGATGGAAGAACATGGAGAACTGGGTTACTCAAAAGTCACTTAGTAGACTGGAGTTGGTGGAGCCTAAGTAAATGGGGTTCTTGCATTGACATAGTTCTTTGTGAATACAGAAAAGGTAACTTCCCACCTATGTTGGTGTGCTCTGTGCTCCCAAACCTCTACTATGGAAGACCTGATGCTAGCTACCACTAATTACTCTTGATGTTGCCCATTATTGGGTGCAAATTATCTGATATACAGTATATATTAATTGTACTGTGGTGCTTCTGACACAAAGAAAACAGGCTCTTCTACAATACTAGTGATATGGGGGGGGAGTATTAGTTTATTTGAGTGGAAGTTAAGAAACAATAAGAGTGCACCAGTGTGTGCATGGTTTGACTGAGGAGAAGGTCTAAATTTATGTCTGACTTTCCTTACATTTCAAGAATACAGTATATCTTCTTTCACAATGTGGAATTTCCTTGCCTTCAGAAGTGTATGCATGCATAGACATCTACCTTAACGGGACAACTCAAAGGGACCTTTTAAGCCTTCATACCAATAAAGAAAGCAGACAGTCAACACTGAAAAACTCTCCAAAAAAAAAGCAAAAAAAAACAAACCCCACCCCTACACAATCAACATCACCAAAACTATTCTATAGTATCTCTCTGAGGAAATCACACCCATGCACATAGGAAATGAGTTGCTATTTATGCCTCTGTCTTAAATAGAAAGGACTGCACAGTGCAACATGTCACAGATTTGTCTTAAAGGTGAATGAAGAATACCCATAACAAAAAAGACTGCCAAAAGGAAAAGGAAAAAAATAGTCTCCACCGTTTGTAAGAGATATAACATGCAAATGTTTTATCAACAGTAACTCTCACTGGTAGGGCCATTGTATAATTCAGTGATCCAAAGCTGCCTGTTAAAAAGCTTGAGAAGTATAAAGGTTATCACATACTATGTTGCTGAAAAGACTAGACATGCCTTTCTGGAAAGAGAATTTCTTAACTGGGTGCCACCATTGAGAAAGCTCGTACCCAGGTAGCCATCAACTACCAAAGAAAGGAGCTCACGCTCAGCTGCCACCAGTTGATTTCATCAACATTACAGTACTTATTATTAATGATAGATGTCCAGGCCATATGTCATTTTAAAAGAACCAAATAGAAATTGTTTATTGATACAGGTGTTGACAGCACAGGCAATGTTGTTAACTCTTAAACAAACATTCTCTTTTATCCATCCTCAACCGCCATGCTCCCACCCAAACTCCAAAACTCTCTCAACTCTCTAATGCTCTAATTCTCCATCTCAAAACCCTATCTAAACCTTATCTCCACTCCTCCTCCTAAGTTTCTTATACCTTGTGACTCCGCCCCTCCCTCACTCCTATTGGTCTATGCAAATAGCATATGAATATTCATGACCTGGGCAAATGCCACATTCCTGCCCCCTTAATAAGTTTGTATTAGGAGGGGACACTTAATGGTTTGCCCTCATAAACAAACAAAGGTTTATGAAACAATACGAATATCAACATCTTACATTATTTACATCACTAAGGATATATCACTTTACTCTTACATCAACAAAGACATATTAACTTTTTGCATTGCTTACATTAATACAAATTACATTACATTACATTACCTTTACATTAATAAAGACATATTAACCTCTTGATTTACTTACATCAATAGAAATTCCATTATGTTACCTTTACATTAACAAGGAAACTCACCAATATTTATACCATCACTATACACCTCTCAGTTCATCAACATCCAAGCAACTCTGCATTTTAATGATATTCCATAACTATTATACAAACAGAACAATTAATACAATATTACAAACTGTAATTAGTCATTTGGTCTTTGAGACAAGGCATCAGTATCCACACTCTGAGTCCCTTTTACACTGCAGATCACAAAGTCTTACAGGTTCAGTGCCCATATTGCAAGTTTACTGTTATTGGAATTCACAGTTCATACCCACACCGAAAGGTAAAGGTCGGTGCAGAGGATGAATTTCCTTCCCAAATGTCAGCTTTTACAGCATCTGTACAATAGCTAGGCACGCCCTCTCAATGGCAGGCAAATGTCTCTCACCAGGTTGAAGTTTCCTGCTGATGAAAGTCACTGGGTGTAGCCCCCCGCTGTCATCCGCTTAGCCCAGCATGGCTCTCAGTCCCACCTTTAATGCATCCATGTATATGATGAACTCACGGTCGAAGTCCAGTGCAACAAGGACAGGTCTTGAAGTCCGCACTCTCTTCAGACTATCAATAGTCACCTGGCACTCTCACGTCCACAGGATATCCTTGGCTCACCTTTTCTGGGTGAAGCCTGTTTTCTATTTGATTAGTGGCTTCATTTTCTCAATTGTGGGAAAAGTAGGCAGTTTCTTCCATTCCTCCAGAACAGCTATGACTGTGTTCCTCCTTGAAATCTTATTGCTAAACACAATCTCAAACACTTGTCTTATTTCAGATGTATTGAGATTTTCCTCTGGTTCTATTTCTTTAATCTCTGGTTTCTTAGGTAGGGGTTTGCTTTGCAGGATTTTCAGTCCTTTTGCAGCTGCACATGAAGACTTCCCAGTACTAGTTTCCTAAGCCCTCCAGTGCTGCTGCAACAAATCCACATGTACTGACCCTGCTAAATGCAATTTATTGTATTTTAAATGATGTAAGCCGCCCAGAGACCATTGGGTAGTGTGGGCGGCATATAAGTTAGTTACATAAGTAAATAAGTAAATAAGTAAATAAATAAATAAATGTTCACTCCCCTCTATGGGTCTCAGCATCACCACTTTGTCCTCGAAACAAAATGTTCTTCCCCGGGCCTTTTCATCACACCAGCCCTTTTTCTTTTCTTGAGCACCCCTAAAGCTTTGCCCTGCTATCTCTAAGGATTTTTGCAGACCCATGTGTTGGCAAGGGGTCGAGATCCCTGGAAATGGGCATAGCTTAGCCTTTATCTTGTCATTTCTAGTACCACGTCTTTGGCAAGTATCACAGCTTAGACAATATTGTTTCACTTGCTTCCCCATTCCAGGTTAATAAAAGTTCTGCGCCACTTGGTGTGAGAGAATCCCAGGTGTGCCCCAAATACATCTGTGTGCTCGCGAAGGCTTCCCCGGCTGGGATCTAATGGTTGTTGTGGGTTTTTTGGGGCTCTTTGGCTGTGTTCTGAAGGTTGTTATTACTAATGTTTTGCCAGTCTCTGTGGCCGGCATCTTCAGAGGACAGCCCCGCCACTAAGCTTTTCTGCAAAAACCTCTAGAGGTCACCCACTTCTTCACCACAGACCTCTAACTAAAAAAGTACTCACGACTCAAAAAAATTCACTTTCAAACTCTGGCTTTACTGGATTTTTTCATATCCTGTCGCTGGACTCCAATTGTGGTGTTCGCCCTCATGGTGTTTGTTTGTTTCCTCACAGAGCTCACAAGGTACCTCAGCATGCCCTTTGATACGCTGCCACCAGTTGATCTCTTTTATCAACTTATTTTACTTAGAAAAGACGAAGGTCCATCCAGTACTGACTTTTCAACAGAACAGGTTTATTAATTACAGGTGGTTTCTGGAATCATTCATAAGCACATTCTTCAAGATTCATCAAGCTTCAATATTAACCTTTTATATTAATTATCACGTTAACACTCAGACTAATCATGCCTCAGACCTCCAAACGATCCTTCTCTCTCTGATTCCAGACTCTGACTCAGCCTGCTCCAAATTCCTTTCAGGCGCCGCCTTTTATCACCTTATTTATCAGTTATTAAATAATGGTGAAAGTAACCCTGGGGAAGGGGGGAGGGGAAAACAGTTTTTGGCCATACTAGGTAAATGTTCTCCTTGACATTTAGTCCAGTCATGTCTGACTCCACGGGGCAGCACTTATCCCCATTTTCAAGCCAGCGTTTGTCCGAAGACAGTTTCCGTGGTCAGGTGGCCAGCATGACTAAACACAGAACACCATTACATTCCCACCGTGAGGGTACCTATTTATCTACTTGCATTTTTACATGCTTTCAAACTTCTAGGTTGGCAAGAGCTGGGACAAAGCGACCGGAGCTCATTTGGTGGTCCGGATTTTGATCTTACAACTGCTGGTCTTCCAACCGTGGATTTTGAACTTACAACTGCTGGTCTTCCAACCTTGCAGCACCACATCCCTTTGGCCATACTACATTCAAACTAATTGCAATTTTCTAGGTATTAATAGTATCGTTACCCAAAAGAAGCCACTGCATTGAATCTAGTGGGATGTATTCCTCTGTTAGAGTAAAAAGCTGTTTCACATCTTCTGGATGTCCATCTCACTTAGATCCCACTACTGTATAAGTCCCATTTGCTTTTTACTAAGATATTGCTTAGTCTGTGTATTGACAGCGCTTGCAGGAGTCCTCCCTTACCTTCTCGGTTGTTATGAACTACAACAACGTTGCTTAAACTGTATATACATCCGTCTGTGTGTGTGTGCGTGTGTGTGCATCTAAAGAGAGAAGCAAATGCTTGGTAAGAAAGCTGCCTCCTCTCACGCTTACGGGAAGAACTGGGTGCCTTCTAAGAAGAAAGGTAGAGTTAAAATATTTTAAAATAAATAAATAAATTCTCGTCCGTAAGTCCAGCTAGCCGTCCTGAAATCCCGGGTCTCCCCCCTCTATCCCCGCAACTGCATGTCAATTTAGTCAGAAAGCTGACTTCAGGCGGGGATGATTTCTGAATCGGGGAGTATATCCAGTGTGACGCAGCTGTACGTCTGAACAAACCTGGGGCAAATGAACGTTATCTGCCACTGCACAAGGTCTAACGGGCGAAGCCAGCAAGCCAACGACAGAGACGCGCCCCTTCGCTGCCTTGGTGCTCCCTCTCTTCTCCCCCCCCAAGCCGTTCCGCCGTTATTTCCAACGGTAACCCTCCGCGCGCAGCTCCCCCCTCGCCTCCAGAAGCCCCGCCCCCTCGTCCCGGAACCGCCTCCTGCTCCTCCTCGCCCCGCCTACTCCGCGATTGGTCCGTCCCGCGCCTTCGCCGCCGAGCGGGGCCTCCCCTCCTCGTCGTCTCTTTACTCCGCGAGGCAGCCTCAGTCCCGCGCTCGGCGCTGGAAGGAGCGGGGCTGGGCGTTCGCTTGGGCGTGCGAGGCGGCGCCTGGGAAGGGGAGGAAGAAAGTGCCGCCACTCCTGTGAGCTGGCCGAGCGCCCGAAGCGAGAGCGGCGGCGGTGGCGGTGGCCGCGGCGGCGGTGCCTGGTCCTTGTCACCTTGCCCGGCTACCTAGCGGCGGCACGAGGAGCGAGAGGAGGCAGCGCAGGAGGCGCCAACATGGGCACTGCTAACCAGAGCGGGGACGGTCGGAGCTGACAGAGCCGGGGCTGGCCGTCACCCGTCTCCGCCAACTCTCTCCCTCCCCAGGCGGCTCTCTCTCCTCAGCCACGGGGCGCCTCGGCTCGCCTCCAAGGAGCT